AAGAAGAAGAAGAAGAAGAAGAAGAAGAAGAAGAAGAAGAAGAAGAATGATGTGGGGTCCTTGGTGCTCTCTGAGCTTGTCTGTTTTCTTGCAGATGTTTCATTACCCAACTAGGTAACATCATCAGTGCTAGAGGGAGTGAGGTTTGTAGCATCCCCACAATCAAATTTGGGCACTTGGCAACTGGCCTGAATTTACAACAGTTGAAGCACCCCGGGGTCACACCATCCTCATTTCCGACTCTCCCAGCTGTTTTCCACCAGTCAATGTCAACACGGGAAGATGGATGCATTTAACGACTGCATGATTCACTTAATGACTGCAGTATTTCCCTTAAGAACCATGGGGGGAAAAGGTTGTAAAATCAGGAACAGCTCAAGTAGCAATCATCTTGTCTAGCAATGGGAAATTCCGGTTCTTATTGTAGTCATACGTTGACAATTGCTCAGTGGCTAAAACACTGAGCTTGTCAATCAGAAAAGTTCGGCAGTTCGAATCCCTAGCGCCACGTAACGGAGTGAGCTCCCGTTACTGGTCCCAGCTTTCATCAACCTTGCAGATCTGAAGCATATAAAAATGCAAGTAGAAAAATAGGGACCAGCTTTGGTGGGAAGGGAACAGCGTTCCGTGCGCTTTCGGGTGTTTAGTCATGTCGGCCACATGACCACAGAGACGTCTTCGGACAGCGCTGGCTCTTCAGCTTTGTAACGGAGATGAACACACCGCCCGCTAGAGCCGGAAATAACTAGCACATATGTGCAAGGGGAACCTTTACCTTTACCTTTACCTTTACCTTCACCTTATATATTTTAAACACATGTTTCCTGATGCCAGAGTTTGGGGATGGGATGTTCCTGAGTGCTTTTACCTCCATGGGGTACCTCTCTCCGTCAATGCTGTGTTCGGATCCAGGACTCTGCGTCTTCCCTACCTCGCTGCCCCAGTGGAAATGAAACTGCACCACCTTGTATCTTCCGTTCAGACCCCCAAGTTCTACCTTCCCTGACGGATCCAGCTGGACGATGACTGCCAAGGGCGAAAAAAAATAGATTCAGTACAGCGTAGTCCTCAAATCCTCCACAAAAATGGAGCCCTCCCCATTTTTTGTTGCCAAGCAAAACATTGGTTCCGTGGATTTTCTTGCCACACGGGGATTTTACAGTATCCTTCCCCTGCCACGCCCACCAAGCCACTTCCACAGAACCGGTAGTAAAAAAAAATTTGAATCCCACCACTGGTGCTGTTGTAGCTTTGAACAAGTAAACAAATGGTTGTAGGTAGAGAAACTATCTGTACTTACTTGTCCACATATTTCATAAGTTAGAAAATGCAAAAATACAAAAGAAAATAATAGGAAAATGAGGGGAAGGGAAAGGGAAGGAAAAAGCATAGAAAAGAGGAGAAAAAAATATTTTAAAAAGGCATTGACTTTGGGGCAATAGAATAAAATAATAGCATCAAACCTCAACATTTTTACTTTTACATAATAATATAAGCTAGCCATTTCTACAATTACAAACCTATCCCATCGGAAAACCCAAAATCAAAGTTTCATTTTTCCCCCCACCTCGAGCATAAAGCCCAGAAGCGGTTTCCAAGTAGAAACAATAGCAATTGTATTTTTTTCTGGGATCAAAGCAACCAATTTGGCTATCTCTGCTAATTCCATTAACTTTGGCAACTATTCATCCATGAAGTGTGCTTCCATTTTTGTGCAAAAAAGTAATCTCGCTGCCATCAACATATCAAAGTTCCCCCCAAAATTTCTCCTAGTCTTTTTTCCATTAGACCCGAAAGAAAAGTTTCTAGTTTTATCTTTATATTCACTTTAAGTATCTTGTATATTAGACTATGAACCAGAAGTGGTATTCAGAAGGTTCTGACCAGTTCTGGAGAACTGGTAGCAGAAATTTTGAGTAGTTCGGAGAACTGGCAAATACCACCTCTGACTAGAGATTTTACAGTATCCTTCCCCTGATACGCCCACCAAGCCACGCCCATGGAACTGGTAGTAAAGAAATTTGAATCCCACCACTACTATGAATCCTCCTACTCCAATATTTCTTTGCTTTGTCACATGTCCACCATAAATGATTAAAAGTCCCTTCTTTACATTTGCATTTCCAACAGTCATTTGAAATACCTGTATACATTCTGGACAACTTATCTCAGGGGTGTTGGCAGAGTGTTGCAGGAGGCCGTTGCAGCCGAAAATGGAGCCCGGAGCCCTAACATGAGTGACGTCAAACTGGCCATGCCTACCCAGTGGTGGGATTCTACCAGTTCGCCCCTATTCACTAGAAATGGTTGTTAACATTCTAAGCAGTTCGGAGAACCGGCTGTTAAAAGAAAATACTGGCCTAATCCTGTAAGGAAGGCAGGAAGGAAACATTCTGGTGTTGCTTACAGAAACTGCCTCTCCATTAACCCTTACTACATTCTTGGTAGGACTAGACTTCCTTTTCTCAGGAACTTCTCTAGAGTTTTTTTCCCATCCTTTGCTGGTACTTTGCTTGTGTCCAGTGACCATTCAAAGTTACAATGGCACTGAAAAAAATGATTTATGACCATTTTTTCACACTTACGACTGTTGCAGCATCCCCACAGTCATGAGAGATGTGTGCCTCAATGTAAGTGATATTGAGTTGGCCACGCCCAGCCAATAACATGACCACCAAGCCACACCCACCAACTAAGCCACACCCATACAACCTGTTTTTTAAAAAATTGAATCCCAACCCTGCACCAACCCAATTGGGCAGACCCATCCCAGACCCCCCCAAGGTCAAACACAACCCTGATGAGGCCTGGTGTTAAATACCAATGATACATTATATTATAAAAGTTTTCTTTTAATTTATAATTTTGTGTAAATTTTAGACCTTTCATCCACTTATTCTCCCATTGTGAGGGATACTTGTATGACTTGTATGAGTGATTCCTGCTCCTCACCTGTGTGTCCATTGTTTTCCATGGTCCATTTGCCATTGGATTTGACGTTGTAGTTTATAAAGTTAAACGCTTTCAGAGATTCGTTGTAGGTTACCTGCCGGGTGAGAATATTAATCGGAGATTGTTTGTCATTCCCACATTCTGAGTCTACCTTTGCCCATAGACGAGGCTCTGCAGGAGAGAGAGGGGAAAAAAAGCTTTAGAATGGGACAGAAATTGGATCAAGACCAATATAACCGTGATTTCTGCAAACTATGGTTTACAGTTAAAGTCTTTAGGACTTCCTGAGCTATAATCTAAAACACCCTTAAAAAAGGCATTGGGAAAACCCAATAACAGAATTGAAAGGGATCTTGGAGGTCTTTTTTTTCCAAATTAACAGAGTTGGAAGGGACCTTGTAGGTCATCTAGTCCAACCTCCCCGCCCAAGCAGGGGACCCTACATCATTTCTGACAGATGGCTGTCCAGTCTCTTCTTAAAAGCCTCCAGTAATGAAGCTCCCAAAATTCTGAAGACAACTTTTGTTCCATTGGTTGATTGTTCTCACTGTCAGAAAATTTCTCCTCATTTCCAGGTTGAATCTCTCCTTTTTTTTTTTGAAACAAATTTTATTAATTTTAACAAGAAACAAACAAGACAAAACATCATTAAACACTAAAAAAAAAAAACCCGCTTTCCATCATAGATCTTTACAAAGCAGGTAAAACATTATTTTATATCACATTTTTCTAATTTATCTCATTTACTCTTATTCAATAACGTTACTTTTCTAGTTTATCTGCTATTCATTTTTTTAAAAAACAAATTTTGTTAACTTTACAAAACATACAAACAGTCAAGGCATATTGACATAAAAAATCTTTCTGGAAGAACCAATAAACCGTGCCAAATGTAATATGTGCATTTACATTATCTGCTCATCTTCATATCCTATCCCTATTTCTTACTAATCAAAATTTTTGCCTTAAAAAAAAAACAATAGACAAAACATACATAATATAGAACATAAAAACCTCATTTCTGAAAGCTGCTTAATCCCGGGTTAAAACTCTTCGCACAGACACAAATTCAAAAACAATATTTACTTTATATGTCAATCCATATCTTATTACCATTTTCAATTTTCTGTATAACTTCTTCCCTCTTTTATCTTTCTTAATTATATTTTGTTTATCTTATCTCAATACAATTCATAGTACTTAACATTTTTTTGTCTGTTCCTTTACAGTTATCCATTCATCTCTCCTTGATCAGTTTCCATCCATTGTTCCTTGTCTGGCCTTTGGGTGCTTTGGAAAATAGCTTGACCCCTTCCTCTCTGTGTCAGCCCCTCAAATATTGGAACACTGCTATCATTTCTCCCCTGGTCCTTCTCTTCACTAGACTAGCCAAGCCCAGTTCCTGCAACTGTTCTTCATATGTTTTAATCTCCAGTCCCCAAATCATCTTCGTTGCTCTTCTCTGCACTTTTTCTAAAGTCTCAACATCTTTTTTTTTTTAGTTTTCTTCTAATTCAACCCTTGCTCAAGTGTGTGTGTGGGGGTTTAAGCAGGTTAAGGTCTGGGCTTTTGGGCTGGAGAGCTGGCAACCCAGGTTTAAGACCCAAGCACCACACGATGGGGTGAGCTCCCATCCTCACCTCAGCTCCTGCCAACCTAGCAATTCAAAAGCATGCAAATGTGAGTGGATAAATAGGTACCACTTTGGTGGGAAGGGAACAGCACTCCCGTGATGTCATGCTGGTCACATGATCACAGAATTGTCTTCGGACAGCGCTGATTCAATGGCCTTGAAGCAGAGCCCTCCAGCAATCACTAGCAGAGTAAAATTCACAGGGACTCCTTTACCTTTTACCTTATAGTCAGGCTATTGGGAAAAAGTATGAAAGCTATTTAACTTTGCAATCAGAGGGTCCTTTCAGGGCAAGACTGGCATGGCAGCAAAGCAGGCCAGAAGCTCTTCAACATCTCCATGTCTTTTATTACCGTTAGTTGCAATCAGCGTTTCTTTGCATAGCTTCCCATAATAGTGACACTACAGAATAGGAAATATAATGAATGGCATTTTTTCCACACTTTGCCCCTAGTTCTTGTTTTACAGTGAACAGTGAACTGTTGGTTTGTAAAGTTACCTTTGCAGTCCGGGACTTTACACAGTTGTGAGGCATAACACCAGTTTTTCCCTTCTGCAAAAGACAAATAGCCTTCATTAGTTTAATCATATTATTCCTAAAATGAGTGATAACAGAGAACAGGTATCATTTTCAAAACACAATGTTTTGAAACAATGTACTAATTGATTTAGAATGCTATCATCCCTCCTAGGCAGGGGTGGGATTCTACCGGTTCGCACCTGTTCGCTAGAACCAGTTGTTAACATTCTAAGCAGTTCGGAGAACCGGTTGTTAGAAGAAATTACTGGCCTAATCCTGTAAGGAAGGCAGGAAGGAAACATTCTGGTGTTGCTTACAGAAACTGCCTCTCCGTTAACCCTTATTACATTCTTGGCAGGACTAGACTTCCTGTCTCAGGAAGTTTTTTCCCCCTCCTTTGTTGGTACTTTGCTTGTGTCAAGTGATCATTCAAAGTTACAATGGCACTGAAAAAAGTGACTTATGACCGTTTTTCACACTTACGACTGTTGCAGCATCCCCACAGTCATGAGAGGCCAGGCGAGGAGATGCGTGCCTCGATGTGAGTGATATTGAGTTGGCCATTCTCAGCCAATAACATGACCACCAAGCCACGCCCACCACCTAAGCCACGCCCACAGAACCGGTTGTTAAAGTGTTTGAATCCCACCCCTGCTCTTAGGGATGCAAAAATTCACCCTCTGTAGTTATAAAAATGGAACAGCATAAATTAAGAGGAAACATCAAATTCAGACAAAATATACAATATGAAATGAAATGAGAAATAAAACAATAAGGGAAAAACAGTAAAAATAACAGAATGAAATAATATGAATGAAGAGAATAAAAGAATTGGAAGAAACATGGTAGGCCTTCTAATCCAACCTCTTGCTCAAGCAGAAACCCTGAACCATTTAAGACAAATCGTTGTCCAATCTCTTCATAAAGTATTGGGGTGTTCACACTGTTGATTTGTTTCTTTTCCCCCCCTTTATTGTGCAGTTTCACTTTGGAAATTTTTTTTTTTAATGTTGAAAAAAGTCCCTGGAAAGCAGTCTGAAATTACAATCTAAATGATTGCTGCAGTAAAATGATATTTGAAAGAGAAGAAAGAAAGAAAGAAAGAGAGAGAGAGAGAGAGAGAAAGGAAAGAAAAAAGGAAGGAAGAAAAGAGGAAAAGAAAAGAACAGAAAAAGGAGGGAGGGACAGAGGGTGAAAGAAAAAAGGAAAGAAGAAAGAGAAAAAGAAAAAGTAAGAGGGAGGGACAGAGGGGGAAAAGGAAGGAAGGAAGAGGAAGGAAGAGGAAGGAAGGAAGGAAGGAAGGAAGGAAGGAAGGAAGGAAGGAAAGAAAGAAAGAAAGAAAGAAAGAAAGAAAGAAAGAAAGAAAGAA